CCGCAAGAGCGGCGATGGTCCCGATGATTTTGATTTATAAGATGGAGATAAGCCAACGAGGGCTTTTCTTTTATGTGTTTATATTTTTGTGTAGTAACGGTGTGCATATCTACAGGCTCTCGCGACGTTTTCACTCTATATTTTTTCAGGAATATTTTATTAACTTGATCTGTAATCTTGTAGAAGCCTTGCTGCCTTTCTTTACTTCCTTTTCCTTTCTTTTTACCCTTCCTGCTGGGACCATCCATTGGGTCAGCGGAATGCGAAGAATAGATAAATAATTAAGCATTAATGTTCCGGGTGAAACAGGAGACGTGTGTATAATGCAGTGAGTTACAAAATACCCCGGGGTCGTTGTCCATCTGTGAGAAACACCACTTCATTCCCGGGGCTGGTTGAAAAAGTGGAGAGCTCGAAAGCCTCGTACTTGCGATGGAAAAACGGATAAATGACGCAATATCCGCTTTCTTTTTACACGAATGCGCGAATATTGGGTTGCCGCGTTTATTCGCCTAACGGCTACGCAGATGTTTCCGCATTTGAAATCTTTTTTTTTATAGTGAAAACTAAAATAATTTTTTTTATCTCTGCGACATCTTAAAGGCGCTCTAAATGCCGAGCGCTGATAGGTACGCTCTGACGTCGTGGCGTTACCTGGCGTCACAATATCACGTCACGTCACGCACGACGTCGTGGCGTCACGGTCGGGCGTAAGTCTCGCCGCCGGCCTTCTCGCGTTTCGAAGGAGGACCAGCCGTGGTCTCCTTTGGGTCGAACTGTTTGGCAGCTCTTCAGCGACGGCCGAGTACCGTATATCGTCCGGTCCGCTTTTATGTGAATGGATGCATACAACGAAACGTGTTTCTTCCTGTGGCGGCTTGCGCCACCTAGCCACTGTTTTAATAACCATGGTAAACGGTCGCCTAGTATTCAATACATAAAAGTCGCGAGCTTTAGTGTGCTTTGTTTCACGTTAGCGCCGGCCGCAGCGAACGCGACGATCCGATGGCGTTAAAAGTGCCTCGTAACGACGCTCGTTGTCTTTGTGCGCTTGCCACCGCAAGCTAACTTAATCACGCACAAAAAAAAAAAAAAAAAAGGAATGCGATAGCGTTATCGCGCCGCGTTCGCGTCGCCTTCTCATTGGCTTATCATGCTCTTACGGCAAGTAACAGGAATTGCGGCGGTCATGGCCTACACTTTAAAAAAATGCCCGTGTGTCTACTTTCCTGCACAACACTCGGAGAGCCAATCACTGCAACTGACGGAGGCAGCTCAGCGAATGACGAAGCCGAAAAATATGTTTAGACCAAAAAAAGCAGTCTAAGTTGTGACATTTATCAACGCTATAGAGTGGCGTTTTGCATTGCTTAATGTCACAACTCAAAGTGCGTTTTTTGCTGTAAACATATGTTTCGGCATCGTCATTCGCTGAGCTGCTTCCGTAAGTTGCGGCGATTGGCTCTCCAAGTGTTGTGCAGGAAAGTAGACACACGGGCTTTTTTTTTTTTTTTTTTTAGTGTAGTCTGTAGCCTCTTTGGCTTCGCAACCAAAGGGTCGCGGGTTCGAATCCCGCCTATAATCCTTCCAATTTTTCTGTAAGGCAGAATATTGTCTTCATAAAGTGAAATAACTTTGAGACATTTGGCACTTTTAATTAGCATGACATGTGATGTTTTTGTTTAATCACTTTCATTCCACGCGTTTCACGTGAGCATTGTGGAATGTCTGAAATTCCCGCGCGAGGTCACGCGGCTGAGACGTATTGACCCTCTCGACCAATCGGGATTTTGCCGTCACGCCACCGACATCGGCTTTTCTGCGACGCGAGCTCCTTAACTCCATCGCGTCAAAAATCGCGGGGTCACGGTGTATTTGCTGGGCGTGATTCGGTTGGCCCGCGGTCGCATGGCACGAAGAGGGCGAGCGCCATGATGATACACTTTTGGCACTGTTTGATGTACTCCGTTTGGTCGCGGCGTTTGCTGCGGTTGGAATTAATGTGAGAGGGAGGATAGTGATGCTACTAAAAACAAAAGCGTATTTATTTACGGCTACTTACCCTGTCAGCAGCTCTACTCCCACACCGCCGGAAGCTAAGGAGATTTACTTATTCATCACCCGAGGACGAGGTTTCCTTCCGAAGATGTTTGTCAAAATAATGCTGTCGCAAACATTGATTTTCTGGCGTTTTCTTTTTAGCATTTCGTGATGTTTTCGCCTTTCAAGCCGCACTGCAATGTCTGCCCCCACTCCAGGAGGGTAAACATGGCTAATAACGTGATTGCCTCGAGCGCATCATGCTTAACATTGCAGGATAGTGCGGGCCTGAATCCTTTCATATTGAAACAGCTCGACCGAAAGCGTACGAAGCGAGAAACCTTCCGGAGTGAACGTCGACTATACCAGGTGTAATCAAAACGTTCGTGGGCTGATTTTGTGACGTAAAAAGAGAGGGCAGCACAGAAATGCGCGCGCAGCAGTCGAAGAGAGGGACCGTCCTGCGTCATTATGTTAAAGGCGCCGCTCTGTGAACACTTGCAGCTGCGCTACGCAAAGTTTTGGGACCGCATGCACGAGCATAATAGAGATCTCTCCATAGACTGGAAACCAAATCAAGAGCGAACATCAATTTTAGCTCAAACGCGGCAAATCTAAAAGAGAGACCTCTGAAATTATTTAAAAGTCTTATGTCAAAAAACAGCGAGGTGTGCGAGGTGTTTTGAATGGCTCTCGCGCCTCAAGAATGGAATAACGTCACTGAAGTCAAAGAGAAGTCGGATTAGGTCGTCATATACTGCTGTTCGTCTTGCAGCAATGTTGTGCCGTTCCTGAAGCGTGGGTGCCACCTAAAACACTTCGCAAAATTCACTGATTTTCGACACGACCCTGCTGAATCATTTCGAATGTCTCTGTTTTATATCCGCCGACTTTGACGCAAAATTAATGTTCGTTCCCGCTCTGGTTTGTAGTCTATTGTGAAATCGCCATTGTGCCGTACCCATGGGCACAAAAACTCGTGTAGCACAGCTGCAAGTGCTCACGGAGCAACGCCCTTTGGTATTGGCGGCGAGACGTGTAGTTGGCGCCCTCCTATGGTTCCCTCTCGTGACGTCATTTCCTTTTCGAACAACAAGTTCGATGGTGTTTGGAATGAGCCTGGTAGAAGCTTGAAATTCTTGCACTCTGAAACCAACATTGCCAACACCGTGAAAATTGACGTTCTTACCATTACTGTTATTTCCGTCGATGAGAAATCTTTTGCTGAGGTCATAGTCAGCATTCGGCCAATCGTGGAACGCTGATCACGGCGACGCTTATGATCGCTCACGTCTTCGATAACGAAACACGAAGGTCCCTTGCTTCAACTGCTGCGCGCGCATCACTGTGCTGCCTTCTCTTTTTACGCTACAAAAATCAATCCCTGAACTTTTTATTACACCTCATACTTCATTTCACCCGAAGTCCAGACGAAGCCGACGCTACGAGCTGATGGGACAAATCAAACAACGTGAAAAGCGCACCATCGTGGTGTTCGTCTTGTTCGTCTTGTTTCTGTGTATGTTCCCTACAACGAGGTAGAGGGCCTTAGAGCGATAAACTGGCAGGTCAAAGTGACCCCCCATCGGCCGCCGCCATGTTGCACATCTTTGACCTACTAGACACGTGACCTTATAGTTTTACGTCTAGATTTTAGCGAAGTACCGCGCATAAATAATTGCTCATTCATATTTAATAACAGCACCGACGAGATAAGTTGCGTTTCTTTCGTTTTAAGTCCAAAATGTGCTTTTACGACAAAAATTAGGGCAGCTTCGCAATGCCTTCGCAAGATGCCGGCGGCCGCTGTGCTACATTTTGGATTTTTATCGGAGCTAGATTTTCATCCCTGGGGCTAACAGTATTGAAAAAAATAGTGATTCATGCTTTTTTAACAGCGATCTCAACACAAATCGTGGCTCAACTTTGCGTAAAAGCCGCGCGGTTGAGTAAGGTCACGTGTCTAGTGGTCAAGATTGTACAACCATCAGCGAAGTGGGGATTACATTTTCCTGGTGAACGGGATACCAGTTTATCGCTCCGAGCCCCTCTACCTCGTTGGTTCTAAATCATTGTTTAACCAAATTATAAACAGGAGAGACTTGCGCTTTTGACGGTGCTTCATTGGTCCATTGGTCTTATTAGCGCATAGCGTCGACTGCATCTGGACTTAAGGGGAAAATGAAACATTTTTTTTTTTAAATCTGAGTGAGGAGCGGACTTCGCTCCTTGTCCCGTGAATTCAGTTATCGCACTTGGGCGGAAGCAAAGCTAAACCGCATTTATATTGAAAACTTCGAACATAATATATCGCGGGCTATGCCGCGAGCCTCTCTGCCGCCCGCTATCTGCCCAAAGCGTCGCGACTTCATGAATCTTCGGAATTGTCGCGCCAGCTCAGTGACGAGCAAGGCTCATCTGACCCCTCCGATGACGTCAATTTCGCTAGTTTTTCCCTCCGTTTTGGCGCTCTCCTGCGCTCGACGCGCAGCAGCAGGCGGGCAGCGTCGAAATTTAAAATGGTGATTAGGACACTCCTACTAATAAGATCGAAAGTAAATTCAATACAAGAGTTCACTTTAGGGTGCCTACATCAAAAGTTTAGGTTTCTTGTTGTTTTTTTCAATTTAGGGACTTTTTTAGCTTTTCTTTAAGCGAAAATGAAGCATACCAGGATCGGATAGCGCCTCCGCAATAAGTAACTCGGTGATAAATGCCAACACGTCACCCCTAGATCTAAGAATTTGACCTCACTATTTGATAATGTCAAGGAAGCCCCACACGCGCACGTTGGTTCCCCCTTTCGTTATTCTGCGTGCTTCGACTACCTTTATGAAGCGGTTCGTCTTTGTGCTTCAACAACACGACGCCGTTCTCATGTAGCTTTTTTAATACAAATACACGCCAACTCACCCAGGTTTAGTCATTCGATTTTTTCCTTTTTTTTTTTTTTCTTACAGGGTTGTATGCCTACAGAGTGTGCGGACCCGAGGGAAACTGGCTTTGGGGGAACTGGACCAACTACACCGAATGCCTCGGCCTCATCAATAACCAGGTGACGAAAGGAGCTTTTTGAGGTTCAAGGTCAAAATAAGGGCAAGAATGCCGGGATATTGGTATTTTTTCCCTCGTCACGCGAGTCTAGTCGCACACATACGCGGCGTATTCTATAGGGAGTATTCACTGGACGCCATATTTGTGGGTGCTCTTTAGAGCGCCTGCTCAGAACGAGCTCCCATCAATAGGCTGCCAAGACCGGCACTCTTGATGGTGCGGAATGCACGTTGCAAAAGAACTGTGGAAGCTCGCCATCAGCACGCGCTCAGCATTCGCGCACACAGCTATGGCCGCCAGTGAATACTTTCTATACGGAGAGCACGTCGTCTGCTACTTGCGCAGGAGTTGCGGTGACGTCAGAACGACGGCGAGCTCTGATTGGCTTGATTGAAAGAATAGTGGGTACACCTCAATGCTAGATGCCTTGAGGTCTACCCACTATTTCTTTCAATCAGCCGATAAGAGCTCGGCGTTCTGACATCATAGCAACCCCAAGGCAAGTAGCAGACGAACTTGCGCTTCACCTTTTCAGCGCTTATTACCCGGGCGAAAAATGCCGAGTCACTAAGCTGTGGACGGATGCCCAGCGTCTTATATATTGTATAGCAATGCTACAGCGCATGCTCAAAAAGTGTTTCATAGCCCAGCAGACAAAAGATGGCATCGCGCAGAAGGCGATTTTTTGCAAAGGTCTTTTTCGAAGAGGTGCATGTTTGGATCGTTGGGCTGCTATGAGTGTGAAGCACATACATTCGCGGACAGCTCAAGAAAATCACGGCTTGGCGAGTTCCGAGCATATCATTACAGTTGCGCAGCGAATGAGACTGTTCCATTCGTCGATAACCACGTATAAGAGCACGAGTCATGAAATACGTTGAACAAACTAATCAATTCACACATTGCCTTTTTTTTAGTTATTTTTAGATCTGTCCGAATTGAGGAACGTGGTGAACGTCGCGGGATGATTAGTGAAGATTACAGAAGGATTTCGTTTTCTGGTAATATATATATATATATATATATAACGTAAAACAAGCAATCACGCAGGCAGAGCCAGAAAAGTACGAAAGCCTCATTTTTAGTCATTGACCTCATTGTCCCTGAGACTAACGCAGGGAATGATTTAAGAGGTTCGCGCTACTTCTTCGTGATTCGTCCTTTGGCGTTCCTATCAACTAATACCTCAACCTCATTCGCTGCCGAGTAATGCGATGATACCGAAGGCACGTCACGCCCGTGCTGCTTTATTTGTTAAGGGGTATAGACAAGTATACGGTCTGTGTGTGTACACGCTCGGGCTCGTAGTAGGTTGTATATGTAGTCGTGCATTGTGACCGGCCTCGGGCATATGGAACGCTTCCTCCCCTTTTGCTGCAGCCCCAAGAGATGTCGTCGGTGGTGTCTCTAGCGGTCAGCTACATCCTACTTCTGTTCTCGCTCCTGTCACTCATCTTTCTATTCGCTACGATGTTCATCTTTTGTTACTTCAGGTGCGTAGTCCCTTTTAGCCGTTTTAATCCGACGTCAGCATTTTGAATTTCATTTGAAAAAAATACAGACATTTAGGCTGTATTAGGCTGCGAATTTCGCAGCCTAAACAGACGTTTAGGCTGCGAAATTAGAGCGCAGCTCTTGAGGTATCTTATTCTGAGATATACCATTGTAACAAATTTGAGAGAGAAATATTTGTATATATTTTCTTTTTCTTTTTATGGTCGGCCAGAGAGGATGAGGAGGGTACGGTGGGGGCCCGATAATGCAACGCGCACGGTTACGCCGACATCGACGCCGACGCCGCGCTATATGCGGGAATGGGCGCCTCTGAGCTGAACTCTAAAAGCAATTTAGAAGTTACAACTATTATTGATGCGTCATGGAAGACCCCACAAGAGTGTGGTTTTAGATTATAGATTTAGGCAGGAAAATGGCGCCTCGTAAAATAACTGGATTCTGGGAAAGTAGCGCCAGTGCCTTCCATACACTTTAAAAAAACGCAGTCTGAGTTGTGAGATTAGGCAATGCAAAACGTCACGCTTGCATTGCCTAATGTCACAACTCAGTCTGCGTTTTTTGGTCTAAACAGATGTTTCGGCATCGTCATTCGCTGAGCTGCCTGCGTAAGCTGCGCTGATTGGCTCTCCGAGTGTTGTGCGTGAAAGTAGACGCACAGACTTATTTTATAGTGTATACTTGCTACCCGGACACACTGAACAGATAGTAACATACAGACGACCGAAACCTTGCAAGGCGATTTTCTGATCTGTCTTTGTTTCTATGGCAGTCGTCATTTCGGTCTTTTCCAATCTTCGAAGCTTCGAAAGGGTCATTTAAAACCTGTCGTGCCAAGATCGCTATCGACCGTCATCGTAGTGAAAGCGTTTCTCTTCACTGTAAGCGTCTTCGGCAATATGTATGTAATCAACTTATCAACCGGGCTCCTCTCCCTAGATCTCTTACTATAATTGTTAATCTTGTGTGTTTCAATGACCCCAAGTACCGACTCTGTATGTGGTGGGGGTGCGAAGATGTACGCTTGTTTCGACGTTCTGTGGATAACAAAATCTTGGTATAGAAGAAATGTCTTTATAAAGCAATCTGTCACCGGGAATTTGGATTGTCTCACCCACAATGAAGGGACAAAAAGAAACTGTTTGTTCCATGAAACAAAATGGCGTCCGTATGGTGTGCTTGGTGCTCCTTTCAGGATCTAGTTACTTGGGTGCCTTGAACGGAGTTCTGCAGCTCGTGCTCGTGTTATTGAATTTATTGCTGGGGATCGAACGATGATGGGTCATTTGTTCAGCTTGTTTTCCACAGAGCTCCGTGCTTACCTAACACTGGGCCTGTAGATCTGTTTCTTCAAGTCATCTTCCTCGATCAATCGCGAGGCAGATATTGGGCGGAAGTGCTGCGTCATTGTTTGGAAGAAACTCGCGTTCAATTAACCTTTTTCACACGAAGGCGACACCAGGCAGAGGGTGCGCACAGCCCGTCCGGTGGGGTCGAATGGATACACGGATGAACCATAAGACGGATCCGTTTCATTCGGGCGGCAGGTTGCACCATTCACTAGCTCCGCGGGACAAAGCCGGATTCGGCCTTGACAGTCCAATCCGCTTGCGTCTTTGCGAATCCCAAAATTGCTATTCTTCTCGCAGAGAAAAAGCGAAATTTGAAATTCGTAGGAAAGAAATAACGTCTGTGTACTGCAGAGGCAGCGCGCAATGGTAGTCCCGGGAAAGATTGCATGAAATGAAATTTTAGTAGTAACGAAATTAGTCCATATAAAAGAATTTGCTTGCAAAATTTATGCAGGCCTTTTGAGCGGCACAGCTTCTGGCGTAACCGAGTGGTCTAATTAGTTTACCTTTCCTCCTGTTTTGGAGTAGGGTATGGCAACTTTGAATCCTCCATCCGGGAACTGTGGAGCTTAATTTTCTGGCGCAGGAGAGGTAGTGCAACTTCCTACTACACACTAGTCGTAGTTTGAGTGTTTGCCGCTCTGTGAAGAGGGCCTTGACGTGCGCAGAACGGTTCTTTAAAAAACAAGTTGTTGATGCTTCACAGATTGAACAAAATATTGAAACCTTGGACCTCATTGACGTGTTGAAAACAATTAGTTCCACTGTCGACCAGTCACCGAAAATCACAGGCTGGATGGGGGAGAGTCTTTCGGTTAATTGAGTATCCGATCGTGTGACAGGTCGCTGCAGTGCTCCCGCACCCGGGTGCACCAAAACCTGGTGCTGGCACTAATGGTGCACGCCGTCATGCTCGTGGTGCTCTCCCTACCTGTGGTGCTGCACTCCGACGCACCGTCGCCCTTTGTACAAATAGTGAGTCCCCGTTCTTTCCCTACACGTCCCTAGATTCCATAGGGAAACGTTGTCCGCAATTCTTTGCTCGCGAGAAGTAGGTACCTTTCCGAGTTGTTTGAACAAGCGTCTACACCAAGGTGGCAATCTATGCAAGTTGGTTTGGTAGTCACTAAAAAAAGGTGAACAGCGCGCAAAGTACATATAGAGGGTCTCCTTTGTATGTCTCATTTCTACGTATGTTTTTTTAGTTCCTAAAGAAAGAAACGACAAGCGCTGGCTAACTAAACATTAAATGAACAAAACAGTGCAACAACAATGATCTCAGACATGGCCAATCATCACAAGCCCAAATGAGCTATCTCTTTGCTATGCAGATTGCGAGACACCCTACCCTACTAGAGACGTGCTCCATAAAAACACGAAAGGAAGATCATTGTATCAGCCAAGCTGCAGCCAATCTGCATAGCAAGGAGGTAGCTTTTTTGGTCATGTGACGATTGGCCATGACTGAGTTGATTGTTGTTGCTGTCTGTTTTTTGTTTTTATTTAGTTGAGAGTCAGCGCTTGTCTTGTTTATTGTCCTATTCTCTGTCTTCGTTTGTTTGCTAGCTATATATTTTTTCTCATGTATTTTATTTTATTCGGACCACCTTATTGAAATTCTTCTGTGACCTGGAATTGCGTTTTATACAAACCATAATCTTGACATGTACCTGTCCTTTTTCTTTTTTTTTGTTATGCCGCTGCCACTCTATTTTAACATCATACAAAGCACAGTATGCAAACACTGTCTGAGGCGTTTCTCCTTCATGTGTGACACTTCTGTCACATTGGCCATACAAACATTTTGCGCAGACATGTTGGTAGCATGATGCAAACATGCTGCGAAATATGCTCGAGGCGTGTTTGCAGATATCATGTCATCATGTTTTGCTGGGAACACCTTGTCTTTTCTGTGTTGTATGAGCAGTCAGACTCAAAACGCTGTCGCAAACATTCAGACGGGGCGCGTCGTGCTTGAAGCCGCGTGTATATTCAAAATACGTTTTTGAGTCTTCACGGACAATCTCAAACGCCATTTTTTGCACTCCAGGTGCGCCGTGTAGTTTTTCAAAGCGAGGAAAACGCGTTCAAACAGGCGCTTAGAGGCTCCCGCTGAATACCCGAAGAAGCGGTCCCAGGGTTCCAGTTCTCCGCTTGTCTTGTTTTAAGAAGGAAACGGGAGGAACGAAAAATGGCAATGAATAATGTATCCGGAAATCCGGAGGTACATACACACTCGCAGGTACGTCCTTCGGTGCAATTCGGGATTTGTGTCCGGTGCTTCCGAATATATCATTGTCGTTCCCGGGTTTCAGATGCTTGGTTTTGTTCCCTTGACACTCACCCCCCGCCCCCTGCCACTTCCCCCTTTTCAAAAAATAAGACCGGACACACTTTGTCTGGGCTTTTACTAGGCTTGTAGTCCCCACAATACCCATTACTTTTCGATTTCTAAAACAGTTAAAAAAAGGGAGCTACGCTTCGGGATTTGAATCTCTTCTGAGCCTACGATTCCTCATAATCTGGTGGCAAACTCAGAAAAGCAGTGAGGACTCTTGTATAGTGTATAGAAACACTTTGCTTGAGTATAGGGGGTTGTCGCTCGTCAGCTACCGATATGCTTTTGTTTTGCTCGTGGCACTCCGGCCGTGTTCTCACGAGGTTTGAGACGTGAGGCCTTCCACCGACCCACAAGCCTTATGCGCAGTTCACACACTTGCAACCGAGTAGGACGGAGAGAGACAAGACCGGTTTTAATTGCCTCTTACGCCGTGATAGGACCAGCTCCGCAGCATCGCAGCCGGTCCTAAGACGTTGCAAGAGGCTTAAAAACCGGTCTCGTCTCTCTCGGTCGTACTCGATTACAGGTGTGCGAGCGAGCTTTAGCGTAGACCGACTTTCCCTTCGCGGGGGTTTGTTTCGGTGTCTGCGCTTTCTTATCAGATATCCTGTACCCATATATGCAGCGGGTCTCTTTTTTTTTATTTATTATGTGTGTACGTAGTATCTTAAAAGGAACAATAAAAATGACTACACGGGACCTGTTTTAAGGAGCCATTTATTCTTGAGAAACCTTTATGTCTTTGTATCCGATTACGCGGAACGACTGAATCCCATGCGGACAGCAAGTCGTCTGCTTCATGTGCAGGAGTTGCGGTGACGTCAGAAAGACGACGAGCTCCGATTGTCTCTGATGGCAGGATAGTGGGTAGACCTCAAAGCAAGCTGCCTTCGTGTCTACCCACTATCCTTTATTCAGAACCAATCAGAGCTCGGCATTCTGACGTCACCACAACCCTTGCGAAGGAGCAGACGAACTTGCGTTTCGCATAGTCAAGGTTAAAAGCGCAGTCACGCTACTGGCACATTCAACAAAAGACATGGCGTTCCCTGCAGAAATAATGAAAAAATTCTGGGCGGACGCGTCTCCAGCACGTTTTCTTCATACATGTCTACACTTCGAACAAATCCTGCAGACAGTTTTTGCATGGCCATGGCGTGACAGCTAGGGTGGTCCCCAGACAGGAAATAAACGCGCCTCATACAGACTCTGCCCTGTTTTTTTTTTTGTTTTTTTTTCATGATATACTAGCAGTTTTACCGCAGATTTCGGAATGCAACTTGGGGTAAGAAGGGGAGTTCCGACGTGAAGGATTCGCGTTATTCTTTCTGACAGCCTCCCCTCTGCAAGAGCATCCTGTCCCTGAAGATGTACGCGGCCATGGCGTCCATCAACTGGATGTTCGTCGAAGGGCTGCTTCTCCACTCCAGGATCACCATCTGCATCTTCCGGCAGGACGCCCCCTTCAAGCTCTACCACGCCATCGGGTGGGGTGAGTTTCGGTGTCCCGCTGAAGGCCCGGACAAGACTGGGGCTTCCCGGGTTTTGATATTACCCGGAAAAACATCAATAAACATAGGTGCTTTCAGAAAAAAAAAATTAAATGGAAAATTTTGGAGGACGTTTAAGCTTCGCCTTCAGGAGTGGCCTTTTCATATAAACCCGCGCTCGTTCCCAAGTAGTGCAAATGTGTGGGCGTGGCCTGGTAGGTAGCGTCACGTGTCACGTGTGACTTCCCGTGGCGCCACGGAAGAGCGTTGTGGGTTGTTTGAAATTCCCGCGCGAGATCATGTGGCGTGACGTCACATGCGTGACGTCACACCTGGCTGTGACGTCATGACCCTATACCCCAATCGCGATTTGTCGGTCCCACCAACGCTGACGCCGGATTTTCTGGGACACGAGCTCCTTAACGCAATCGGTCCATAATAAACTGCCATCTATGGAGGAGACTTAGCGAATGACGGTTTCCGCAAAATGTTTTAAGGGGATCGGTGGGCGATCGTTTAACGCACCGCCGCTCGGAGCGCACGGAGCAAAAACTAGCGCTGCGGAACCAAGGCTTCAGGGTTCAATTATCAATCCCCACACCCGCCCGTTTCGATCTGGATGATCCTTGCACCGGCATGCGGTATTGCATCACTATTTCTGCGTGATGCACGTTTTAGACGCCAAGCTAGCAGTAGAACAGCACTGGATAAACTTCTAATCTACAGCAGACACACCAGATGATAGAAAAAATCGCAAGGGTGCAGGCGAGCTGGTGAATATTAACTATGTTGAATTAACCTGAGACTGGGGTAGAGAAGAAACATCAAAACGTGGAAGAGAACGTCGTCCTGTCTATTTTCTTTCCCTTCCACGTTTTGATGTTTCTTCTCTACCCCCGTCTCAGGTTAATTCAACATAGTCACACCAGATGACCTTTGGAACTGACTAACTTCCTGGCATATAGACGAACACAGCACAGAATTATTTTTTAAAACGTTTTACGCCAAAAAATCATATATGCCATATTACACTGAGCATGATCGTCTCACCGGCTCACGTAATGACCGCCGTCACACGTCAGAATTTGAGTGATTTGTATCGACAGTGTCAATTACGTCGTAAATCACTATGATCGACTTTCCTAGCGCTGCGCGGGCAAGCCGACGCCTCTGGATAATTTTGTAAACCGAATTGATGCGTTAGCATTAGTACCCACGTGACAGGGAAAAGCTGACGGCGTGCGTCTGCGGACAAAACAGTGGAAAGGGGAGCGCACCGCTTAGAGAGGAGGAGAATAGCGAAGGCCAAAGGCGAGAAGGATGTGACGTCACGGGGTGGAAGCCAATCAGCGCGCGGATGCTGGGGCGATTGTGAACTTGCAGCAGCGTCAGGCAGCGGATGCCGCTGCTAAGCGTGCAAGGCGGGCGAACGAGACAGAGGACCTGAAGCAGCGCCTAGCTCGGCTGGCCGAGGTGCGCCGCAAGAAACGGAAACCTGACGCGGGTCGGCGTGCGACAGAAGCCGGGAAAATGACAAAAGATCCATTGGTGGATCCTTCGGGTCTGCGTTAGCATGACCCCTGGTAAACGCCACACACGTTTCCCTTCGGGAAACGCTGCCATGGCTACAGATTACAGGAGGGCTGCCCACTTGATCAAGCGCTATTGGAAGGATCGGAGTCCGGTGCACCTGTCGCGTGCACTATGCACTGCCGGTGTCAGTCCAACTGTTCTCCTCCTTTGGGAGTGTGCCGGCCATTGGGACAAAAAAGCTGAACGTTGGGACCCCATCTCCGCACAGAACTAGGTCAAACCGGGTCGCGACACGCTGGCCCGGAGTACGTTTCTCTCTCTATGGGAGTTCGCTTGCTCGACAGGAGTACATGATCGAATGTGAGCTTTTCTTTCCCATGGTCCCCTTCCTCCAGTGAAGCCATGCCACCACACCTATGAAAATAAAAAAGTCATGATTATTTTGTCCTACATACTTTTTTTTCAGATTGTGTATCCAATTTTGGAATATTTACGTGCATGTCTTTGGCTATCGTATTCAAGCTGTCTCTCGTTATGTGGTAACGGCTAAGCATCGTGACAAAACTTTTTACAGCGGAGCTGTTAAGAGTTAGTTTCCCCAGGATCGAGTCTGCTAGCAAATAAATGTCGACACAACATTCCGGAGAGCTACCGCCATGTATGAGCGACTGCGGCAAACAGACAACTGGCTTACCGGTTGTCTGGTTCCGAGGTATCTTTGTAGGCTCTTTACGTCATGTGGGCTTGGGTATTCCGTTAGCGCGTGCAACTTATCTTCGTTGGGGCGGAGCGTGCCGTTATCCACAACGAATCCAAAGAGGTTAATCTTGGGCGCGGCCAACTGAACTTTTCCGGGATGAATCGTGAGCCCAGCATTACGCATTCGCTCAAGTACAATGCGAAGGTAACTCGACATGCTCCTCAATAGTTCTAAAAAAAAAAACAACCACGTCATCCATGTATGCCATGGCAAATTCGTACTCCGAGTTCCCAAGTACAACATCCATCAGGCGTTGAAAACCCCTGAAAGCTGACCGAGCCGCTGCTCTTACGCATCGCACGCGTCGACCAATTCACGAGCGCGACCTCCAACGGGCCATCGCGCTCGTTCAGCAGGCGCCGGTCGGACTTGCAACGCCGGTCCGCCCAGCAGCGCCATCCACCCCCTGACGCCCACGACGTCTCGGTCATCAACATGCCGGACGAAGCTTGAGGGGGGGGGGGGGGGGGGGGGGGAAGTGTGGGCACCCTGACGGCTCCCCAGCCCAGTTGCCCGTCTGCGAGGCAAGGGTGCCGAACTTTTCCCGCGTGGCGGCGACGTCACGCCAGCCACGCGCACATCGCGTGCGCCGCCTTGATAAGGCGCATCAGAGGCGGCGCACAGGGAGTCGCTGCCTGGACTCAGGCACCGCCGGTAGCAATGTAATACCCCTGTCAGACGGGCTAGTTTAGTGTCACTACAAGCGAGTGCACTTCAACCCGTCGAAACACACCCCAAGTGTGGTGGTGCTACACGGGAAAACTTAGTGGCACTCCAAAATGATGGCAATAACGATGGGTAAGTAATGGGCACGCAACATATTACAGTGCATACGGATTGTTTCATAAATAACTTCGTCGTCTTATTAGAAACACGTTACCACACATTGTTGCGCTAAGTCACGAGTTTTAATCCAAATTTTAATCTAATTTGATCATTACGATCAGCCATTACAAGCCATTGATACACGTCCGCACGCCGGTACGATACTCTGTTTCACTTTATGATATGCCGCAGAAAAGGCTACAAGCGCGAGCTCCTTGCTCTAGGGCACATCAAGGCGGCACAAGTTCTCGTGCGTTAAGAGTAGCTCTCAACGCTATGAGCTCGCACATCTAGCCTTGTCTGCGGTACAACATAAGGTGAAACGGAGTTTCTTAAAGATCGAAACGAGCAGAAGTAGGGATTGAACCCAGGATTCCTGGGTTCTGCAGCGCGAGCTTTCGCTCCGCGTGCTCTGAGCTGGTGTGCGCGAGCCCACTCGGCCACTCGCCACTCGACACAATGAAACATCATGGAGTGTGTGGAGGACGAGCTGGAGGGCGATATCCACGATGTTGGACAGTGGAAGCGCATGGTTGGGGCATTTTTTTCTCCGTGAGAGCCCAACGCCTTTCGGATAAGAGGCAGCTGGACCTGGATGCCGACACACAAACAAGAATTTCAAGTGACATCGATCAGCAGCTGCAGGCCAATGCCTTCACCATAGCCGCTCTCATGACCGACAACCTACCCGTGATCAGTCGACAGCGGTGGACTTTCCAGAGGAACGAGCAGTGGTTCGAAGACATCTTGCCCCATTTGGGCGAGTTCTACTTCAAGCAAGCCTTTCGCGTCTCTCCTGCCACTTTCAGATTCCTGGTGGAGTCGTGCAGGTGCCTCCTGGCCGTCGTTGGCCGTCGCGCAGGGGCCAAGGCTGGAAACTAGATTAGCCGCTTGTTTTTCTACAATGCACTACTTTCCTGCCAACAGGAAACAAGTGCGCCTCTAATATTACTCCTATCAAAATAATACTAATTTTACGCAGCGTTAATTTCTTCTATTATTTTAACTCCTTGAACACTGCTATCGAGATTACACACTTGGTCTACCGGAGCGAGTGTAGTGTGCTCCCCGAACTCACTTCGTTGGAAGTGTGTTCTTCGGGCAGGGCTGGGGATTGAGCTCAGGATCACTGGGTTCTCCTTCTCCAGCGCGAGCTTTCTCTCCATGTACTCCGATCAGGTGGGCGCTAGCCCACTCGGCTTCGATACCCCTTAATAAAGACACGTTCAAAAAATTGACGTTTACAATTCTCTGTAATGCCGAATTGGAGTGCACCTCTTGAGGAGGAGGGAGGAAGGGTACGAGGGGGAGGGTATGCCAGCTGCTCCCCCTCCGTACCCTCCCATCCTCCTCTCCTGTTCCCATCCCACTTAGCGTAAATATTTTGCTACATTTCCCGCTAAATTTAGTCGGGAAATTTTCCCGCTGAATTGACGTGTGACGTCACATGACACCTATACTGAAATTTTAGGTGTGACGTCACGTGACGCCACACGGGTAAAATTTTTCCTCTAATTTTAGCAGAAAAAAATTTCCGCCAAACTAGCAAAAACTTTTACCGCAAAATTGAGCGGGAAAATTTTACCCTCGTGACGTCACACGCCAATTGGATGATTCTCATCGATCATCGCAAGCCAAGATAAAGAACGAAGCATATCCAACTTTGGCGTTCCGCTTCGTTCCACGGTAGTCTACGAGGAGGCCCTGAAACTGCCTAATCAAATAATAATTATCGTGTTGTCTCGAATAGTTACATGCTGAAACAAAAGTAGGTTCTATCATTCTCTGCTAACCAAGATAGCCATGAATGACTAACTTTGTCGTCGTCTTTTATCAATTCAACACTCGTCTTTTATCAATTCAGCGCTCCGCTAATCTTGATTTAGATCAGCCTAAACTCCAAATACACCCCACTATTTTTTTTTTTTTTTTTTTGCAATTCCACTTTTTTACATGTCGTCTCTTTCACGAATTTCTTTTTCTTCATACAATAAAACTTACGCCACGTTATTGGTTTCTGTGTCGTTATGTTTTACTGTGGAAACACTCCTATTGATGCCACCCACTCGATCGAGCGAAGTGAGTTCGTCAAACTCACTCCAAGCCAAGTGTGTTCCTCAGGAAGGAGCCGTGTGACAAACTACAGAAATGGCACTAAGGGCGAAGTGCACTAACTTGTAGTGACACTAAACTAGCCCGTCTGACAGGGGTATTAATCGTCTTGTCCATGTCCAATTAAATGTAGTTTCTTGTTGTTTTGGTTCCGGCCCTTTGCCGCCGTCTCGTGCCACCTCTTGTTTATAGTGTCCATAACTCTTGGACACTGGTTTCGGTGATGGCCGGGCTGCTCGCAGTCGTAGCAGCAGTCCGACGACGGTTGCCTGCTTAGGCCACCCGCACCGAGGTGCCCGTCGGACCGCCTCCAGTGATCGGATAAGGAACCACTATGGGAAGGCCTCCACAAGGCTTGCGACTGGCTGTTGTGGGGAGGGCTTGTTCCGTTGCGGCGGGGGTGCTGCTGGGCTGCGGGTTTGCGACCGCACCGTGCCAGTTTTCGCCAGCACTTGCAGGAGCAGACTGATGAGGATGGTTCGCTTGGGTGGTGATCTCCGTTGAGCCCCAGCTTGCGATAGGGCACGGCCAACGACCTCCCACCTGTCATGGCGACCCCCGCCCGAAACCCTCACGGGCCTCGCTGTGACCTCCGGGGACCTCTCGGGGAGAGTTAGGCGAACATACGCTTATCCCGCACGGGAGATCACCATGCATGCCACGCCAACTCTCCTGGTTGATGTGGTGGGGAAGGGAGGTCTCGTTCGGACAGTCCACTTGCGTGGAGGCCTCGGGGCCCCGCCATGCGCATGCCGGCTCAAGCGCGTACTTGGCTGGTGACGGCGGCACGTAGTTCTGCTCGGCATGTAGAGCTTCCTCGATGAGGCGGGCGCCCCCGGCTAGCCCTTCAAGGGTCTCAAAGGTGCGGTTGATCAGGTAGACGTGGTACGTAGGGTGACACTGTCGTCTGACCCGAGCTACTCTGTCCGACTCCGGTGACTTCGGGTCCGCCCTCTTGAAGAGATTTTGCATGACCCGAACGTACCGGACCAGACTTTCATCCGGGTGCTGCGTCCTTGCCTCGAGCTCTCGGAGAATCTGTGTCGCGTAGCCTGAAGGCAGGAACTCTTCTCGAAGCCTTGTCTGGAAGTCCGCCAGGATGGTGAAGGGGGCCTGTGACCCCAACCAGCAACTGGCGCTGGCTTGCAACGCCAGCGGGACAATCCGCTCCACGATGAAGGCTTCCGAGGCACCGGAGGCAAGGTGGTACGTCTGCAGCTCGCCCAAAAAGTCTGCCACGGACTTGACGTCGTCGTACCCCATGTAGACCGGAACTGTCAAGTGTGGTCGGGGCTGTCGCGGTGGGGTTTCCTGCTGGCCAGGCTTGTGGGCCAGGCGCTGCATCACGGAGTCGCACATCTCCGTGACCTTCGTGAACAGGTTCATTTGTGCCGCTGCGGCCATCGCGGCTTCCTGCTCCCGCGTGAGCATTCCTGCAAGCACAAAAAAAGAAACGCCCCCCAAAACCCAACACAAGCGCACAAAACGATTGCCGCGGTCACAAAAACATAGTCAGAAACACGCCAATGCACCAAACACGGACGTGACAGAAGCACGGAACGACGGTAGGAAACACGGGGTATGGGAAAAAAGCTTACCGAAAGAAGAAACCAAGCCCCGTGAAATTCCTGCGAGTGGGTAGCATACCACGGTCCGGCGCTATTGTGGTCGGTTTGCCTTGCTGCATACCCGACCCGGAGGAATAACACGGAGCCAACGGTTTCAACAACAAAAAACTACATTTAATTGGACATGGACAAGACGATTAACATTGCTACCCGCGACGCCTAAGTCCAGGCAGCGACTCCCTGTGCGCCGCCTCTGATGCGCCTTATCAAGGTGGCGCACGCGATGTGCGCGTGGCTGGCGTGACGTCGCCGCCACGCGGGAAAAGTTCGGCACCCTTGCCTCGCAGACGGGCAACTGGGCTGGGAAGCCGCCAGGGTGCCCACACCGTTTAATATTAGCAACTTTTATCTGATCAACGCAGCAGAGCGCATCGCACTGGAGGTATAGGAAATCATAACTACCCGGTTACCGGAGAGCAGCCCTTACACAATAGGAGGGTTATAATAGTTATAGAATTGTGTTTTTTTTTCGTTCTAAAAATGTTCTTTTTTTATGAAGGAACAATAAAAAAAATAGAGGAGTGTTCTACGTCTGACAACTTATTTGCGCGTTAGTTAGTGCGTGTCATGAGCTCGATTGCGCAGCTAGATCTTAACAGAAGAAAAAACAAAAAACATAAAACATTAAGCGGAGTTTGTTTTTAGAGGCGAAGCTGATTAGGGGCTAGCTAGGGCTAGCCAACGGCTCTGGGGCTAGCCATGTCCGTATGTCCGTCCGAAGTCCGGCGTCGGGGGCTCGTGCTCCTGCTCGTGAGCTCACGCGCTCACGTGCTCACGAGCACGTGAGCACGTGCTTTCGTGCTTGTGTAGGGCAAAAAAGAAAAACCGCATCTCCACGTGGTGAATGACGTTGATTGTGGCGAAGCTCTGGTGGTGCTTGTCTGCGTAGACGGTGAGCCGCAGCATGCCGAGCCTTTCGTCCGTTGTCATCCATGTCAGAAAGAGAATGTGTGGTATGGAACGTGGTTATATAGACGCTTTCAGGCAGCTGTGCATGGGCGCCGCCATAACCTACCTTCAGTTTTTGTTCCCTCTTATTCCGTTCGCTCCACTTCATCATTACCACAGCAGGACAGGTTATTGTAATTTTAAGTGTTACTGTGTCCTTCTTCCCAGCATAGGCCCTTGTGGAGACTCGTCAACGCCCACTTCAGTGGCTCGGCATCTCAGTAAGACCAGAGAAGGTCGGTTATGGCTGCTCAACTTTGCGCGCGCTGAAAGCGTCTATACGCATTTGAGCATTTGACCGCAGCGTGACATGGATGAAAACGAACGAAAGGCTCGGCATGCTACGGCTCAGGGTCTACGCAAAGGAGCACCACCAGAGCTTCGCCCCAATCAACATCATTCACCACACGGGAGATGCGGTTTTTTTTTTTCTGCTCTTTTTTTACGCTACTTTTGATCTTTTTTTACCGACATACGTTCGCCTGTTGTCACTGCAGGTCTTCCGTTGACCTTTATCCTGTCCTGGGCATACCTGATGGAGCAGACACTTCGCACTCCCTGCTGGGAAGGCTACGGGTCCAACTCGTACGTGTGGCTGCTCATCGGACCACGACTGGTAGCACTCTTGGTGAGTTGAGAGAAGCGTTCGGCCGCCATCACACCGTTCGCGCATCATTCAAAATACGCCGGGTGTTCTCTGCATGTTCGAATCACGTTCGCTGCATACTTCGAACATGTCTTAAGACAGTTTTTGTGACGTAATACGAAACATGCTTCAGAGAGTATCTACAGACTGTCGTTTGTATGATTTATTTGCGGTAAGACCGCAGCCTTAGTCTTACAACACTGAAAGCAACGAGCATATCCTACGAGACCGGGAGAAACGCCTTCGTATTTTGCGGGAAGGTCGAACTATATCATCGCCTGGAAACCCAGATTGAATTTGGGGGACGCGTGATCTTGTTTATCCATGCCTCTCTATGAGGCGCACGGTGATTTCTTCTGTCAACAATGCGCGTGGAGCCACATCATCCACTTTACGACGGCGCAAAGCACGGGCAAGGGTGCAGAGCACGACCTCTTATTGGCGACGTGCGTGATCGAAAGCGTTGCTGTGGTTGGCCTTCCACGATTGGCCGAATGCTGACTATGACGTCGGCAAAGGATTTCTCATCGACAGAAATATGAAGCACGGTAAGAACTTTAATTTTGACGGTGTTGGCATTGTTGGTTTCAGAGCGCAGTGATTTCAAGCTTCCACCATGCTAATTACAAACCCCATCGAACTTGTTGTTCGCAAGGTAATGACGTCACGAGAGGGAACCATTGTAGGGCGCCACCAAAACATCTCACCGCTAATAGCAGTTGATTCCAGTGCGCGAGTGATACTTTCGCGCCTCTCGTGGCTTCGCTCTCGCGTCCGTAGCATTCGTTTCGTGGAAATTTAAAGGAGCGGTGCAACGATATTCAATTGGAATGTTTTTCACTTTACACGAGCTTACCGGCACTAGTGGGACTCAAGGATACTCGCACGCAACGCCACTGACCAAGATACTCCCTTGCTGCGCTGAAATTTCGAGGACAAAACCGAGTGTTTTCATTCAATCTCTCCTTCGCAAAACCTGATGACGTAGCTGGGCGGTGGCAGTACCGCCGAGTGACGATATTTGAATACGGCTCATAGATTGGACCCGAGAATGGCGTGGTCACTCGCTTTGGGCTCGTGATAATCGATAGCTCGAGAAGCATTCGGGTAGTGTCTTGTGTCCAATCACTGCAATGGCGACAACAGCCGAACCACAACAATGTCTGGAGCTCAGCGCGTGTCCTGTGCCTTGCCAACCCCATCGCGTGGCTATTATCAACATTTGCGGCATATAATCGGCTCCAGATCAAGTTGTCGCTTGTTCTGGCTACGAGTTTAGGGGGTGAACGCTGCTCGTTTTTCTTTATTTTTTTCTGCGACTTCGATTGCCTGTGGTGAAAAACGAACGGGTGTTTCATAGGTAGTTAACATCAGGGATCCGTTCTGAGCGGTATTTCGTAAAAGACAAAAAGTCGTGGCATCGCCCCTTTAAGCGTAGTTCTGCTTTTTACAACACGAGCCGTGCCGATCTAATCTCGAGGCTAATAGTTACAACTTTTGTTAGCTTGTTCCCCCCCCAAAATCAGTGTTCGTCAAAAAAAGAACATGAAAGCCGTTTACAGCTCCCTGTAACGCCGAATTAGAGCGCAGCTCTTGAGGAGGAAGAGGGAAGAGTATTAAGGGTCACGTGACCTCGGGGGGGGGGGGGGGAGGTGTTATGGGACCCCCATAACACCCCCCCTCTTCCCTTCAAACTGCATACGTGCCTGGGAGAGTTAATACTTCCGCATTAAAAGTCAAGAAGGCAAGCGGGGCGTTCAGACACGGCTCCGATCAACACATTTTAGAGAGATTACGCCGGCGCGTCTACTCCGTGATGTCACAGCTGGTACGACGGCACCCTGACGAAGTGACCCGTAGTTTGAAAATGGGAATGGTTGTAAGATCTTTGCTTGCGTGTGTATGGCGACAAATTGAAGAATGCATTTACTACTCCTACACTTAGACGTTCGAATGCAAACGTTGGTTATTACGTTGTGTCTAACGATTGAATAGCGACGTGACACTAAAACAAAAGCTTGTGTTCGCCTTTTCGAACCGGCTTGCGGTTGCGAATCATTACTGCGAATCATTACCTTACAGGCCCACGGCTAGCGTCGAATTTCCTTTGTTTTTTCAAGTAACATTGAACTTTCAAAAGGTTCAATGATACTATAACTTTAAGCACCAGCCTCACTAAGGGGCTTTTTTAGTTCTGCGACAATCTTTAAGTAAAAGCTCAACTTTACCGCTTTGAACTAACACACAAACATACTGCAATACCGACGAGCGAAGAATAAAGAAATAGGCATGCTTAATTCATCAGGGCAGACAGACTTGCGCTTGTCAGCTTTGTCGCACCTGTTCGGCGCGAAAGATTCTCTACGCGCCCTCTGTGCGTGGCCCATAAGCAGTGACATTCAGATGACGTCACGAAATAAAGCGCGCAGGCCTTATTTCCAGAAGGTATACGTCTCATATTCTCGAGAGGCCTTTGAAAATCGGGAAAGCGAACATGGGAGTGGAATTAGGGAAATTCTAAGAGCTGACATCTGTAGTCCCGAGAGAACGAACAAGAAAAAAATAAAGAAAAAAACGAAACAAGAAAAACAAGTGAGGTGAAATGTTAGGCTTGTTTGTTTTTCCGGTACCCGCGGGGGTTGGTCAATCACTTGTCGACCATGTTTTTTTATTTTATTTTATTCTTTTAAGTCGATCAAGACAAGAAACTCGCGTTTTCTTACATCACAAAGCTGGGAAGAAAAATGATTAGGCGCCGAACTTCTTGCAAGTTATATTTTTCTGTTCTTTCGTCTTTATAACAAAGCCTTGCCAGCAAGATTGGACCCCCGAAACCAACGATATCTACCTCCGTGCTTCCCTCACCCCTGTGCCGACAGTGTATAGTGAAAGACACGTTGCCATTGAACCAACCACGCGTTCGCCTTTTTTTTTTTTTATTTATTTACTCATTAATTTTATAGCTTCCTCCCGCGGGTCAACTGCATTACAGAAGGGAGTAGGACGTAGAACAAATAATATAATATAAAGGTAACTAAAAAGGCAAAACACGAATAAAGATACGGGAATGTGCAATATATTAAAAACAGCTGATTTATAAACAAGCGATCGGGCTGGATCATGGCGACGGAAATCGGTTCCAGTTTGAGAAGGCTTTCGGAACAAACTACTTTTGAAATGTGTTGGTGTTCTATATATGTGCGCATGCCTGCTTTATGAGGGTTATCGAGACGGAATGAGAGACAAAAAGGTAGTGTAACAATTTGTCAACTGAGAGGGATTGGTGAGAAAGGTATGCGACGGTGACAGAATCGAGACATCTTGTGACTGAAATCGAGGTTAGGCAAAGACAGGTCGGATTTCGTGACAGTGACGCTTGCAGTGCGTTGCTGCATTTTAAGAAATGCCTGCGTGTCTACTTACCCGCAAAACACTCAACGAGCACACCTCTGCGATCTACGAAATCATCTTTGCAAATGTTGTGGCGGAACATCTGTTTATACCTCAAAATTAAATCTGCGCTGTGGCATTACGCACTGCAAGCATGACGCTTTGCATTGGGTAATGCCAAAACGCGGACTTAATGTTTAGGTCTAAACAGGAGGTCCCGAGGCGGCTGACATACATCTTCGAATTACGGACCTTTCCTCTGGAGTTTCACTATAACAACTCTATATTGAAAAGGCGACTCGAAAACAATATATCTCGCATCGTGTTTCTGTTTTTTTTTTTTTTTTTTTTTTGCCGTTTCTTATTTTATTTTGGGGAAAATATAAGCGTTTTTTCTGTATATCTATCGCGTAACTAAGAGCTAGAAAAGCATTCGCTTCAGTTGTATTGCGGTCATATGAGGAAACAATTCACTCGCGTTCGCTTTCTCGCCATTCCGGAAAACTAGGTACGTATAATAAAAAAGTATAACAAAATATAACGGCTCTGCCTTTTACAACAATGCGTAGAATCATTCGCGACGGAAGGTTCATGATAGAGCAATGTGATTTCAGCGACCACTATAAAATCTCCAGTGAACCACAGCCTACAGCAGCGATTTGGAACAAGAGATTCATTCCCAAATCACCTTGGAAGTTGAAACCGCGCGTTTAAGAGCTTGCGGCTTATAAAGAACATGCAAACACTGTGCTCAAAAATATTGTTGGCCTGTAAATTAAATGCAAACTTTCCAGAAAATTTCAACATTGTAGAGGGGATGAAATAAACCTGCGACTTTGATTAATGATTAGGTGAGGCGTGAACTTATTGCCGATGTATCACCTCAGAAACACGCTGACAGCGAGGTTGGAGCACACACTTGCTCCTTTCGCCGTACTTTAAGGAAATATCTAGATAAACCCACAAAAACGCGGTGGTTGATTGAAAAAAAAAAAAGGTCTAACTGTACGGAGAAGGCATTATTGAGAAAAAAAAGCCGGGCATCGCCAATAGGAACGGGTTCATGCTTGTGCAGTACCAGCCCACCTAAAATAATGAAAGCACGTGCACTAGCATTTTTTATGTTATCACAGTGTGATCAGAGACGCGGATACAGATCACACACGAGTGCTGCATTAAGCTCATACATGATACAAAAGACAGTTCGCAAAGTCACCGGAATATCCGCGATTCGAATGCCGCGTGCCAAGTTTTCTCCTTGAACTCATTGCCATGTCGAATTCGAAGCACGGATCTTGTGGTGATTCGCATTCGAATCTGTTTGCAGACTGTCTTTTGTGTGACGTATAAACAGTGTGACCCCGCGCTTTAGGGTTCGGGAGGGCCTCGTGTGCAGTCGAAGCGTCGAAGGATGCTCGGTGTCGGGATCTGGCCCAAAATCCGAGCTGGCGCCATCCCAGTGTGATGACATCACGCGGAGTGAGAGCTGGCCCTTCACGGAATTTTTTATCATATCTGTTGTTGACTGTATAGACCTTTCCATCGCTTATCGCCTAGGCGAAAAATGTCGACTCACTGGACTGTTACGCAGGCGCGGCGTACGATTTTTTCGCAAGAGGCGCTATTGCGCGTGCTCAGAAGGCGTTTAACAGTCCAGTAAGAAAAGATGGCAGCTCGCAGAAGGTGTTTGTTGGAAAGGTCTATACACACCGGATGTTTTCAGCCGAATCACTCAAGTTTGCCTTTTCTTTTTTTTTTGTCCCTAAAAGCACAATTTCTCGGCTGGCGGACAAGTGCAAATAATGCGACATAAAATTATTATTATTTTTTTTTTTTTTTGAAACTGGCGGGAACGCCATCATGCATGAAAAGTTTTAGTTGTTTGATATTGTCCTCGATAGCACGCTTCTCACTAGCGAAGCCGTAAAGTAGAAAGAGCGCGAACAAAATACGCATGGTGTATAATGAAAAATAAATAAATAAAGCAACAACGTCAAAGAGTAATATTGGATGGAGAGTGACGTTGACAGCATGAGCGTATTAAAAAATTTTCCAAGAATTTATTGAACGGCTCACTTCCACCTTAATTGACGTTTCTATTGACGTTTTTACCGATGCAATCAAATTAATTAAGGTGGATGAAAAAAAAACGTTGCATGACTGCTGTATTTCTTTTCTGGTTTGTCTTCGTGCGAAGGTGAACTTCGTGTTCCTGGTCAACATCATCCGGATACTGGTGACGAGGGTGAAGTCCGCAGTGTCCCTGGAGACAACTCAGTTTCGGTGAGTGGAACAGTCACTCTTAGACCGCGTTACGAAGAAACATATATTTTCATTCATTTCATTTATTTAGCTCAAAGACATTTAGATCGAAGCCATGAGCGAGAATTTTACAATGGAGGAAAAAGCACACTCTAAAAATAGCTCTATAAAGAAAAAAAGAAACGACGAAGTAACAAAGTCTACATTACCTGGTTAAAACATGGTACCACGTCATCATTAACATTCAAACATAATCAAGATTGCTATTTTTTTTTTGAAGTTCAAAAGTCAAAAACGCCTATGGTAAATCTAAACGGGAAAGGCCATGAAAAGCAACAGAAACAAATATCGCGTCAGAAATTCACGTTGGTCGGTCCACACATAGCACAACACTATTGGCCACGCTCAATGATTCCGAGTTTTGGAGTACATTTAAAAACATATGTTCACGCTTCTTTTTAAACAACACCTCATCTTGTTCAGCTGTAACAGATTCTGGCAGGTTGTTCCAGTCGAAAATGTACAATAACAACGGTGATGAAGAAAAAATATTGGTACGAGCTGTATAAGGTTCCACGTTCTGTGCGTTATCCATTCTGGCTGAGATATGAGCTGCGGGCCTACAGAATGACTGTTTGAAAGTGGAAGCACTGTAATAAAGGCGATTAAAAAAAGCATAAACGATACACCTTTCTTTAGAAATTGACAAATACATGTATGTATATGGACAAACGTTTTGCATCATTATGGGTGAAAATCAACTTGTCTCTGGTCTAACACTTTAAGGGTGTTATTATTTTATTCTGAGTGATACAGCCCAGGGGTGTGTAACTCGAAATAGGGGTACAGAAAAGTTTTAGTCGTGGGTGTAAGTCTCTGGAGCACCCTTCTACACACTTAAGGGTGTAAATTACTTGGTGAGTAAAATATATTTTCTAGAAAGATGCAAAACTGGATACCATGGTGAAAGCTCTAACGCTGCTCTGAAGGATGTTTATTATTGTTATTTTTCTTTTATTGATAACGTGACCAAGTTTTAACCCAAGGCATCAATCATTTACCAGTTTTGTTTAAAATGCAAACACACCGCACAAACACATCTGAATCTCTAGCATTCTTGGCTAGTCTCGAATCCATTCAAAATGTACAAAATAGATACTGCGGCGGTTTTCAGGAACCCATGCCATATGACGTACAAAAATATTTCTTAACGAAACGTTGTTTTCGTATAAAATGCTTCAAGTGTACTTTCAAACTCTCTCGAACCGGCTTGATTTGAGCGAGTGCACTACCGCTTCAGGCATGAAATATTAAAACAGAGTTAAGTGAACAAAACAAACATATGTATCTAAAACAAAATAGTGTGTAACTTACACTCTTCTTGTTTCCCAGTTGATTTGAAGAGGTATATAGGAGTGCGCGCTGCACCCCGGGCAACGAAACTTACGAACCTTAATTAGCAAACGCCGAGAACGTGTCGTCTTGCGATGTGAGAATGAAGTATCTGAGGCAAGCCGGTGCTAGTGCTGTCTTGCTTTGCCTTCGGAGCTTCAACTCAAAGCAAGAAACTTCAGAGACTGTCTGAGGTACTTTACTCGGTTTTCGTATATCACAACTGGAGCGTGATTCACCTCTTTCAGTGGATGCACCCCCCCCCTTTCTTTATTTTCCTTTGTTTGTTTTCGTTATAGATGGCGCGCCAAAAATATTGAAAGCGTCAAGAAACAGGAGCTATAGAACGAAGGCAAACAGTGTCCTGCTAACAACTGAACTTTAATGTAAGAAATATAAACTGATTACGCAACCTATTCGATTTCTGTATGGGATAAGTGTAAGGGCGGAACGGTAATGCACTTTGGTTTCACCATCCAGTTTTGTACTAAAAACGTAAAAAAAATACCTTTACTTCAGTTTAGTTTAATATTTTTTTATAAAGTTTTAGTTATGTGCAGCCCCACTTAAACTTTATATAGATATAAACGTATATTAGGTTATCACATTGCAAACACAGGCTAGATGGCGCAAGACGCCTCCCAATTAAAATAGTCGGTGATTTATTTATAGCGAACCAACCTAACCTTTCTTCCTCTCTCTCCGAAACTGTCACCGCGATGTGACCGACGACATAGCACTGAAGCGTCCTTTTATGTCTCCAGGCACTAAAGTTTGAAGATATATGCCGCGCCACCTCGCGGAAATTGAACAGCCGCCCCAACAGTGCAGACAAATGTCGAGAGATGGCCTCAGCTTGCAATCAACGAACAACAAACAATGTGGCCCGATGCTTTCATGTTGCATGTGTGGCGCCGTGGAGCGGTGGGTCTGATTACCGCCCCAAAGAGTTCAAAGACGTGGCGAGAGACGGTGCTGCCAAGCAAAGAACGGCTCCGCCGCCTCTTGGTTATTTGCTGGACGCCCATCGGATGAAGCCGCTACATCATTACTCACTCGGACGATATTGTCCAATTAATGAGTCCACTTAGTGTGGCACACGTTCTTCGGGGTTTAAGCCGCTGTCGCGCCGCTCATACATTATACGAAAGACACGGAGTTCGGTCCAGACACGGTGACAAATTTATGCGTGGATAATTTTATTCTCTGCACACATAATGGCAAATTTATCCTCGGATAAGCCTCAAGACTTATAAAAGCGTGTTTGGTTTGTACATATATATGCTTCGTGGATTTCCGCAGACAGTTTCTGTACGGCCACTATGACAGGAGCGTTAGACAAGAAAAAAATACGCCGCAGACTGTCTTTGTATGACGTGTCAGCAGTGGGACCATCGGCCTAAGTGTGGTTCTAGAGGGCGAGTAGGGCGGACACCGTCCCTTTGGACGGGTAAGACGGATCATCACTAATAAAGACAGGATTGAACGCCATCTAAATATATTTTGTTTTCTTTTACTCTTTGAAACTATCCAAGCGATATGTGAGCAAAGGCTTCGCAACACTTTCTGAGCATGCGTGCTCGTCTCTGGACAGGAAGGCGATCAAGGCCACGGTGCTCCTCTTCCCTCTGCTGGGCATCACCCACCTGCTGTTCTGCATCAACCCTCAAGACGAGGACATGGGACTCAAGGAGGCCTACATGATCATCAATGCCATCCTACAGTCTTCACAGGTGGTTAAGGCTTCGTCGTACATTTTACTTCGTTTCACTGAAGTCCAGACGCAGCCGACGACGGTATACGAGCTGATGGTACCAGTCAGAAAGCGCCAAAAGCGCAACATCATGGTGTTCGGCGTATTTCTGTACGTGTTCGATCCTCGCTGAACCAACCATTAAACAAAAAAGTCTAGTGACTTGCACTTTTGAAGCTGCTTGATTAGTCCGATTAGCTGGTAGCGTCGGCAGCGTCTGGAGTTAAGCTGAAACAAAGCATAGGCTTGAATCGCGCTTCTGATTCGTGTGTGTTTAGCAAATGCTATTTGAACTTTTTAGAAAGCCTAGATTACAGAGGGAGAGCAACTTAAACCATGGAGAACGTTAGCAATTTGATGGCAGACGCCTCTTGTGCAGACTGGTTGCACGCGCGCATGCCCTCGTTTTCGAGTTGTGAGGAGGACGGCTGACGGAAAGGCTGAACAAGGCTTAGAAGACCCCAGCAGACAATGGACCTTTTCCGAGAAGCGTTCTGCGCACGCGCGAGCGCCCGATGTTAAGCGGCGGAAGTCGGAACAAAAAAATCGAGGAAATTCGGAAGGAGGCTGTATATCAGTGAGTAGAACACGTAACTGCAGCATATATATAATTGTGTTACACAAAAAAATAACGTCGACGGAAAGGAAAACACGACGTTTGGGTGGACGCCACGGATGCCCCTTTTTAAGGTCGCGTTGGGCAGGCGGGGCAGGCGCCACTGCTCAGAGAGCGAAGAAACTGGTAGCGTAGCTCCCATTGTCGATTGGTAGCGCAGGTAGGTCAGTTCCTCGACCCTTAGTTCGTGCAGCCACCGCCTGGTGCCGTCGGTATGTGGAAAAGGTTCATTGACGGTTTCGCCTCCTCATCGCAGCTCGCATCGCAAAACACGGCCCATATACCACGTGCCCCAGATTGAGCAGTTGGAAACATTCTAAAATCTGGGCAGACTAGGACTGTATGGATGGATGGATGGATGGATGCGGCCGAACCCTTTGAATGGGACGGCGACTTGCACTACCTGGCCAGTGTTTCTTTCTTTCTTTTCTTCAGTGACGTTCGCGCCGTTCCGTGGATTTAAACCAAACCACTACGAGGGGCTCGCATCAGATTCGCGCAAAGATTGATATATATTTTTTTCCTATCCTCATGCGCGCGAATCGTGCTCACAATTACAGCCTGAAATAAGGTGTAAATATGTAGGGTGCTACAACACCGGAACTAGAACCACTGAATAAGCTACGCATAGAGTACCGGCGCTTCATTCCCCGATTTTATTATGGGTGCCGCCATTTTCGTGCCTAATGCAGAGCGGGCCGTGCAATTAGCGATAGTGACGATTCGAAAACGCGGCTTCCTGAGCTTTAGATAAGATCTCGTGAAGCTCGGGGAATATCGCATTGGTCTGTCGAGGACCCTTTTAGCATTTCTGGAGAGCAAAAAACGGTTTCCTGCTAATCAAGCTAAAGGTGTAGATAACTGGCTACAGTGATTCTAAGTTCTAACCACTAAGATGGTTGAAGTGTCTTCAAGCTGAAGCATACCTTACACAGCGGCTCATATAGGAACTGCAGGTGAGGTTCTCTCCACAAAACAAACAACGCCCTGTACAATGTCAGTTGCGTTGCGTGCCATTAAACATCAGGCTGACTTTTCTTTTTTTTTTTGGGGGGGGGGGGGGTGGTTAAAAAATTTAAAAAAAAAACGCTTACGAAAGTTTAATTTTTTTTTTCTCTTTTTTTTTGGGGGGGGGGGGGGGTTTTAAAGTAAATAATGCTTTCATACTGAGTAACTCGGTGCCGTCGTTTCTTTTTTGGGAATTCGGGGGAGGGGGGGGCGAAAGGGGGGGGGGGGGGGGCAGAGCCTCTGCTGCAGTTCATATGTTACAACAGGCCATGCCAGAGCCACTGGAAAAGCTAAGCTTTAGAGCAGTGGTCTCCACACCCCGACCGGCGGTAGTCGTCCGACCGGCCCGCGTCTGATTGCGGTCTTTCCAATGAAACCCCGCCGGGGGCACGCTTCCGGCAGACCCCCAGCAGCGCAATGGGAACCGCCCGTAAAGAGACGGTGCGCAGCGACAAGCCACGAATGCGCAAACTAAGCCACAAGAAAGAACGAGACAAAATTATTGGCAACATAGGTCCTCTCGCCATATTATTAATTAAACATTGTCATCACTAGCATTACCTTACTCCCCTGATCCATGTCTGTCTAACTATGTTAAAATTCCGGTGCGTTCTGATGGATACATTGCGCTTGCGCTTAGTGTCCTCTGTCACAACTATTGCATATTGTTAGCAATATGTTTTATCATTCTCATAAGCTTTTGCATTGTGCAGATGTGACAAATTTTTTGTGCGCTTTGATTTGTGCCTGGTAAGCTTTCGTGATCACAAGTGTTGTATAAGATCATAATTAGCTAATTAGCACATTTAAATTTGAAGTATTTGTATTCATCCAACCTCGTTTTTCTTTTTTTAATAATTACTCTAACATTTATTTCGGTGTTTCAATGCTTATCTAAGTTTGCTTTCTTCGTTTTATTTTTTTACAATTACTTATTTTTTTATGAGACTTAGACGAATCCTCAATACGGCCCATTTCCACAGAAAGTTTGGAGACCCCGCTTTAAAGTATCCGCACTTTAGTTATTGTTGTGAATCAAATCATTGTTACCCTTTTATCTGAGGCTTTATTTGAAATTACGCGAAGCGGTGTTCAATCCTGCGCAGAGTTAATTAAAAAAATTCCGCGACAGAGCAAAACTATACCGCTTGAGCTTTCACACAGACTACCCAAAGCTCAGAAACTCGTATTTTCAAACTGTAACAGCCGCCAATTGTACCCCCGCTTTGTACTAAATACAAAAATAACAACGCCCGTAAAAAAAGAAAAAAGAACGAAGTTTTGATAATTTAAGCTTAACTTACTTATGGCTCTACTTATTGCTACTCGCATTCAAATATGGCCGCCGCAAATAGGTTTCGAGCTGATTTCATAGAACTGCGGTGTCTATCTCTGGTTGCTGATAAGAACGAATAGCTCTAATAAATATCCGCAATTGGTTTAGAGTTCTCTTAGTTCCACCCCCCCCCCCTTTTTGTGTGTGTGTGTGTGATGCTTTAGGGTTTTTACAGTGCTCTAATCAGTATTAAGTAAAAGGGAAGCAAGCTTCGGCATAAAAATCTTGATAGGGGTGGAAGAACCAATGAGGCACCATGAAGAGACGGTGCCGTCTGTTACTAAAAATACCACGAGCACTTTTGTGAGAATCTGACTCGAGGCATAATCTTCACGTCATTATGCGGAAGGAACGTCTAGGGATGTACTGAGCCTCTAAAATTGGTTACGAAATTAATTTTCTATATAACATTTATTTTGCCGTCGTGCTTTAATACTTTTTTTATTCCTTTTTCCCGTTTCAGGGTATCTTCGTCTCCGTGCTCTACTGCTTTATGAACTCAGAGGTATGTGGAAGTCGGGAGAAACTCGCAGAATTTTGACGGTGAAAACCCACGGGTTTTTATAAAAGGAAGAGGCAAACAGCAAATGCCATCCCATGTGAAACAATTGTAATATGAGGACGTAGAATTTGGCCGACATTTCACCTGTCAAAATAAGAAATGCGCGCGAAGCGGCCGGCTGCTAGATTGTATTGTATCCTTGGTGAATAAATATCTTGAAAAAAAAATTTAAAAGAATTACAAGATAGGGAAGAGGGGCGGAAACAAATGCAGATGAAATTGCTTGGTGCCGTCAGACAAACCTTCCTGAGAATTTTTTTAATTAACTTTCCGTTTTATCCTGCTATTGCCTTACACTGGGGAAGACTAGCAGATGGCCAAGAGAAGGGACCGCCCTAGAAACAAATGATGGAGCGGATGCAAACGAGAACTTCCGTTACGTGCGCCATAATGGCGACCACCATTCTTCCAACCGTATTTCGAAGCACACTCGCAGCGGGCAAATTGTGTTTCAGGGAATTACCTCAGCTATGGCACGGCGCTAATATCGGAGCTTTTTTCCTCTGCGTTCCTTTCTTCCCTCTCTCCTTTACGGCGAGGGGAAAATGCATTCTCGCGGCAGAAAGAGAAGCCAACACCTCCTCCATCCTTTGGTTTTTAGTTCCTGAGGAAATACCAAAATTAGGCTTCATTTCTGTTTGTTCGGTTTTCTCCAGGCAACATTGATCCTAAATTGCCAAACAAATGCCGCAGAATTAGGGTTTGCTACTGGTTCTGTTGAGACTCGGCATCTTTTCCCTGCTGTCTTGCACTTTGGCGATTATGTGGCGAACGAGAAAAAAAGTCTTGGAAAAGTACTTCGGCACTAACTAACGCCTCGGAACTAAACCTTGTTAGGCCTATGTTAGGACCCAAAAATTCCCAACTTTGGTCGAAGTTGCGCGTTTTCTGGCGAACTCTCAGCGCTACCTACGTTGCCTGGAAAGCGTCTCCGACTGGTGTGTTTACAACGTGCAAAAAGGTTTTTGTCTGATGGCATCACTGAAAGGTCACGCCGTTGCCGGCCGCGATTTTGACGGTGTCACAACAGCGGACGTAGACGTGGCGGGCGCCCGCTTCGCTGCAGGTCACTCTCCGGCTCGGCAGTCCACCGAAGCTCCGGCAGCCGGGAGTTGGGACGCCGCGACGACAGCGACACTCGCGTCTGCTCGTGTTTTCTTTTGCCGGAACTTCTACGACCAAACGCCAGGATCGGCGGCATCCGGCCTCACTGACACTCCGGCTTTTGTGACGTCATTTGCTGCCACTTCCGGACCAGTTTCGATTCACGATGCTGTATGGGGCGCTAAGCACGCCGGTAGAAGACGCGTTCCGGGCATCGTTATACTGCGTTCCACGCTAGAGAGTTTTAGGGAACCGTTTTTGCACATACGGTACGGTACGGTGGGTCCCCCGGTACGAACTGCGCATGCGCTACCGCAAGACACCCATATGCGCAGTGCATACCGCAGGGCCCATCGTACCATATCGGATAGACAAAAACGATTTCCCAAAAACTTCCTAGCTGCGCTCGGGCTTGCAAAAATCGCCTTCTAAGCGCCGCCATCTTTGTCTGCTGGACTGTTGGGCGCCTTCTGAGCATCCGCGGTTTCTCTGTTGTGCGGTATATCGGACGCTGCGAATGCGTCCTCAGCTCGGTGACTCGTCATTTCTTCACCCGGGGGATAAGCGATAAAAAGGTCTATACGGTACGATGAAGCCGATGGAGCGGTGCCAAATCTGCAGTGTCACGACGCTCGGGGTCTGCGCGCGTTTGCCACCACCGGCTGGACCAATCACGCACAGTGAACGTGCCGTGATCCGGCGATTCTTTGTTGTTGTTTTTTTTTGTACATGATTGGTTTAGGCCGGTAACGGCAAGCGCACAGAGGCCCGCGAGCGCCATGACAAAGCGCTTTTGACCCTGCCCGATTGGCTCCCTTGAACTGTACCGTTGGCTGCGGCCGTACCTAACGTGAAACGGTGGATGGGGTCCAAGTTCAATCGGTTTCTGGATTGCCTGCAGGTGCAGACGGCCTTGAGGAACGCGTACCTTCGGGCCGCCATCCGGCGGAACCCGAACAAGGAGCGTCCCTTCCTGCGGGGCAACTTCTCGCAGACTTCGACCGTCTTTCTGTCTCCCTTCAACGGCTCCGTGACAGAGCAGAGCCCGTCGCCCCGAGCGAGCTCCAAGGTCATCCGGAAGTACCCCCTCCGGGCCACAGCTGGCCCGCAGAGGATCCCCAGGAACAACAACGGCGCGGCAGTTGCGGCCGTCTGAGGGTTTCTCGAATAGAAAGAGCATCCCGATGTTTCGCATTCATCGCTGTCACAAAAGAGGCTCGGTAAGTTTTAATAACACTCGTGTCTTGTTTTAAAGCACGGAACGTTTTTCGAACGGAAGCAATAATCCTGGAGATTTGTCCGTCCGATCCTCCATCCATCACTCCGTGCGTTTGCCAGGTAAAGTTGGCGTAAAAATTTCCTTCGCGTGACGTGATACAACGACTTGAAACTGTAACATCATGTGACGTCAGGTAACGTGACCGTGACCACGTCATGTGACCTTGTGTCATGTGACTCCAAGACTCGACACCGTGGCTTCAATGTCGCCGCTAAATTTAGGTGGAACTTAACACAAAAATGTGCTCTTCTTCCCTCCCCGATACGACTGCTTAATGTCGTCTAAACAAATTTAAATCCGCCCGTTAATGAATAGCCCATTCTATGCACTATATATACAACCTTGAAGATGAATGTCGTTTGTATTTTCTTCTTCTTCATTCGTTGTGCCTTGCCTTGTGTCTGCGTACCAACAGTGTGTTTGCGCCACGTTGGCGCCGAGTCGATGGCGTCTATGTTAAGTTTAGGATTCGATTCTTTTTCCGGAACCGCTACCCGCTCACACGTACCTCTGTAACCTCTTCTAATACGTTCTTTATTTCTTTGCGCGTAAGAAGTTGCTGATTAACTCCGTTTTGGGGCTCATACTTTTAACAAGCTTGAGGCAAGGAAGGCATAAGGAAGATGCCACTCCGCTGACCATAGGTCTTAAAACATAATGACCGAGGACGGAACACGGGTACATTACACACTTCCTACTATCGCTTTTTCTTTTCCTGGCCCGTGTGAGATAATCTTAACACCAACAAACCGAAAGTTCTAGTAACGGCGCTTCACCGCTCATATGCATGACTTGCACGTAACGTTATGTCTCCAAAAAATGACCATGTGTGTGACGTCTACTAAAACCATAAATAATTCACAGAAGGCCTTTTTTTTGTGCGTGCGTGTGCGTGTGTGTGCGCTACGAAGAGAAATTATGGCCTTCAAAAAAGCTAGCTAGCTTCCAAAGTGCTGCAGCTCCACACTGCTGCGAGCGAATATGACTATGTCGTGCGTCTCATCTGCACGCGTTCAAGCAAATAGCTTTCACGGCGCCGACAGCAGTTCTACAACTGCGCTATCCTTTACAACGTAGACCTTATACGTTGGCGCCAAGCATAATAAGGGCCAGTTTTCAGAAGGCAGTAGACCCACTGCCTCTATTTCCTGGCGCCGACCGGTTCGTACTGACCTAGTGGGACGTGGCTGAAATCTACTTGGACGGCTGGAAGACTGACAAGAGCGGCGTTCTTTATAATAGAGTCTGTCCTACTCTTCTTTTTCCACTTTATTTTCAGGCCTCTCAAGCTGAAGCTGGGGTCAACGTCGGGGAAAGCCCACTTTGGCATCTGGGCCGGAGCAACGGATCTCCGAGGAAATAACGACCAACGTGGAATCCGCTTACCTTCCGAACTGTTTAACAGGACGCGAAATTCGCCAGAGGGCTGATTCCTACGAACTGTTATCGCAAAAATGTATATTTCATGAACTGTTCCGTCGAACTTGATTCATAAAAAACAACAGTTCGCGACTGCTGGTTTCTTTCTGTGACGGCCTCAAGACCTTGGATCGAGTTCGTGGGCCGAAGTAAAATGGGCAGCCTAGTTCGTGGTACTTCCGGCAACAACGGTAGAAAGGATAGAAACTGAAGACCAGGACGAAACAGGCAGCTGTCCGGTTTTGAGCTCTCAACTTCTGTCTTTTTTCTCAAGTTTATTTCGAAAATGTCAAAACAACTTGCTTTCACTTCACCTGCTTATTCGCATTTTGGTCGGCCATAAAAATAATGGATTCAGGACAACACTACGCCGTACCATAACACCATGGAATCATGACCACGTTACCCTACATTTAAGAAAAACACAAAAAACTTTAGGAGGCTTGATGTAGCTTGATTTTATCAGGTCTCGAGTGTTAAAGGGATTGATTGTCCCATAAAATTTTGCATTTGATAAAACAATTAAATTGTATTGTCGTTGCTTTTAGGAATATCGTCCGCACAATGTTCGAAGTTTTAATCCTCCGCCGCAGAAGCAATTCAATTTTAGACAAAGCCCAACTCCTCAGATTGCACCAGCAAACCACACGGCGTTTTCGTCGATAACAGCGGAAGCTGTAAAGTAACATTATGCAAAGAGAACCACCTTAGTTTTTGACTGTTGTCTCAGTAAACTAAAGGCCCGTTGACACACTTGCGAATTCTTAGGACCGAGCGCCTTGGAACCTCTTAATATCTCTTACGACGGATGGATGGATGGATGAATACGGCTGAGCCCTTTGGATCGGGCGGTAGCTTACGCCACCTAGCCATTTTGTTTTACCATTTAAGCTTAGAATATTTAAATGTGAAATCTATATTCACTCCGCAGTGCAAAGAAAGTGAGGCTATGAAACCCCCTTGCCATCAGTGATTAAGAAAATACCTAGTTTTCTCTCGATTTCTGCCACCATTCACTTAATCTTTGCTTGGTAATCTCTACAGTCTTGAAATCCACTCTCCCTTCGCTGTCTCTAAAACCCAATGACTTTATTAAATCTATGTTGTCTTCGGTAGGCATAGGGTGAAGCCCTTTACAGTAGAGTATCAAGTGCTCAGCCGTCTCGTCCTCCTCTCCACAAGCAGTGCACACTGTATCAATTTCCTGGTACTTCACTCTGTATGTTCTGGTTCGCAGAACACCCGTTCTTGCCTCAAACAGCAATGAGCTTCCCCTAGAATTGTCATAAATGCTTTCTTTGGCAATAACTCTTTTGTTTAATCTATAGCTTTCCAGAGCAGTCTTTGTCTGCATTCCCTCTAGCCACCGATCTCTTTCTGTGGCCTTAACTTTCTTCTTAACTGAGACTTGCTCTTCCGTATCTTCGCTATAGCCCAAAAACCTTCCTCTTAATTTCCTAGTGCGCTGTCTCCACTTTGTGTCTACACTCCTCATGTATAAATAGCTGAAAACCTTTCGTGCCCATTGCTCCCCATCCATTAGCCTCAACCTATCCTCAAATTCTACCTTGCTCACCGCTTCCCTGCTCTCAAATGATGCCCATCCCATGTCTCCTTGTACTCCCTGGTTTGGCGTTTTGCAATGCGCCCCCAAAGCCAGTCTACCTACTCCGCGCTGTTTTATTTCTAGTTTCGCATGCACTTCGGATTTCATGCATAGCACTGCGTTTCCAAAAGTCAAGCCAGGCACCATGACCCCTTTCCAAATCTCTCTCACCACCTCATACCTGTTGTAATTCCAAAGTGCTCTATTTTTCATTACAGCTGCATTTCTGTTGCCCTTACCTATTATATACTTTTCATGGTCTCTGAGATATTCTGCACCATCACATATCCATACTCCTAGATACTTGTATTTACTAGCTCTCTCAACTGTAATATTCTGTATCTTCAGCCTCTCAACTTCATCCTCGTTAAAAATCATGACTGCCGATTTTTCGCTACTGAATTCTAAACCTAATTCCTCTCCTTCCCTACCACAGATGCTCATTAATTCCTGCAACTCTGTCCTGTTGTTAGCCATTAGTACAATATCGTCCGCATACATCAATCCCGGTAAGGATTGCTGAATTTTTTGGCCTAGCTTACTGTAAGAAAGGTTGAACCCAAGCCCACTCTTCTCTAGTCTATCCTCCAATCCTCTCAGATACAACATAAACAGCAAAGGCGATAACGGGCACCCCTGCCTAAGGCCTCGTCTTATCTCTATTTTCCCTGTCGCCTTTCCTTCCCATGTTATAATCACCTTGTTATCGTTGTAAATGTTCCTTAATAGTGCTGTTAGTCCTTCATCTAGGTTTAAGTTCTCCATTATGTCCCACAGGTTTCTTTGGTTCACATTGTCATAGGCACCCTTGATATCCAGAAATGCCAGCCAGAGCTGTCTGTTTTCTTTTTGCGCTATTTCTATACACTGTGTTAGAGAAAATAAGTTGTCCTCCAACCTTCTTTGTTTTCGAAACCCGTTCTGTAACTCGCCCAGTATGCCCTCGCACTCTACCCATTCCTCCAGTCTGTTCTTTATAATCTGCATTACCAACCTGTAAATAACCGGTGTCACGGTTATAGGACGATAATTCCTAATATCAGACTTATCTCCCTTTCCCTTATATATCATACTCATCCTACTAAGCCTCCATTCATCTGGAATATTTCCTTTTGTTATCATGGTACTCACTACCTCCCTTAGTTTTGCCTTAGATTCAGGACCCAAATTCTTCACCAGCTTGATAGGGATACCATCTGTGCCTGTCGACGTGCCACTAGGGACTCTTCGTTCCGCCTTTTCCCATTCTCTTTGTCCAAAATCCGCGATGTCACAAACTGGACTGCTACTTCCTTCGGTTCTCCTATCTTCCACATGTACCCGTTCCCGAAATTTCTCCTCCATCACTGCTCCTATATATTGTATCGCATCATCTCCCTCTAATTGATCTCCCTGATGCGAGAGTATAAACCTCTGTCTAGCTTGCGTTGTTTCACCGAGTGAGTTCAAGTGCTCCCAAAACTTCTTGGCAGCATTTCTATCTTTCTTACTTACATTACTCATCCATTCCTCACCCTTTCTCTGAATTTTCGCATTGATCAAACTGGATGCCTCTCGGCGACATGTTACAAAATTGTCCCATTTTCTTTTTACTTCCGTTTCGGACTCCCCACTACGCTTGGAATACCTGTGTTCTCTAGAGGCTTCCTGACGTTTTTGTATCGCTTGCTTCACTTCTTTGTCCCACCAACTTTTTGGTCTATGTCCTTGCTTCCCCTTTCGTTTACTCTTAACTTTGTCTAGTTCTAGAGAAAAAAGCCTAGTTAGGCTCTCATAGGTCCAATCTGTATGCCGTTGCCCTGAAACTGCTGCCTCTATTCTTTCAACAACTATTTCCAACTCTTTGTCGCTGCAGAAAGTTTGCTTTGAATTATGTTGTCTAGTTTCAGCATTTACTTCTCTGGCAAAATTCAGCTTAATACGTTTGTGATCACTACCAAGACTTTTGGAACCTTCTTCATCTATTTTCATTACTTGTAACTTACCATATATTTTGTGTGACATGAGTACGTAATCTATAGTTGAATGCAGATTGCCAGTTTCCCAAGTTATGTGCCCGTCACACTTCTGACTGGTATTACATAAAACTAAGTCATGTTTTTCCACCAGTTCTAGTAATATGCTTCCAGTTGAGTCCGTATACCCATCCAGACCCTCAATATGGGCATTCATGTCTCCCATAATAATTATTTCGGAGCCTTCCCCTAGTTCACTAATGTCTCTTGATATGCAATCAATCATTTTTCTGTTTTCCTCTTTAGCACCTGTCCCTGTCCATAAGTAAACCACTCCAAGGACTGTTGATTCCCCAGCGACTTTTCCTTTCAGCCACAAATGTTCGGCGCACTCCTTTCTGATCCTTTGAAAGTTCATATTCTTCTTAATGAATGCTCCAATTCCACCTCCCTTCCTCGTTCCCTCCATTCTGTTGCATTCTTCCCACACATAGTCAGGGTTGCAAGGTGGCTGCTCCATGTCTCTGAGATGTGTTTCCACAAACCCATACACCATTAAATCCTCCTTTCTTAGTTGCTCCTCTACCTCTTCCCATTTTAACCTATTTCTACCACCCTGCATGTTAATATATCCAATGTCTGATTGTGCTGATTTTTTATACCTGTTCTTACGTTTTCTCCTCTTTTTAACCCTGGGTGCCTCTCCTGACTTTGTTGGGTTTTCAGTTACTTCAGTGCCCCCAGGGCCCTCGGTCCCCCCAAAAAAGCAGTCACCGTGCGGCCCATCCTATCCCCCACCCTGTAACCCGTGGCCTCACTGTAGTGAATGCCATCTGCAAAAGGGCGGGAGCCAGCCTCGTACACTTCTCTGTTTACTTCCATTACGTCGTACCGAAGCTGTCGACTCATACCCTTAATTACTCCGTTGGCTTCGACAACCCTCCTCTCCGTTAACCCGGACTGCCCCCGAACTTCTGGAATGGTGCACACAACCACATGCACATTCTCAGACACGTCCCTCAGCTTACGTATTCCCACGTTTAGCTGCTTTCCGAGGTTCTGGCTCCTACCCTTCAGCACATCATTAAGCCCCGCATGAACTATTACTAGGTTCCTTCCCTCCCGGTTATCCCACACCCCCTCACGTGCTGCGGTCATAGCATCCACCATACACTTCCCCGGCTGGACCTCTACGGTTACCCTCTGGTCTCCCTTCACCCTGTTATGTACACCCCTCCTAACCCGTGCTACGTTAGAGCTCCCCACTACCAGTACCCTAGATCCCCCTGGTGCCTGCGCGCCTTTGTCCTGCGACTTATCTCCTGTCACCTGACTGCCCGACGCCTGCTGCTCGAAGGCGCCATTGAGCTGAGGTTCAATCAGCTCTCCAGCGTCGTCGAGCCCGCCTGCCAACAGGCCGGACTCCCGACCACCAGGGACCCCAGCCTGCAGACTGGTGGTTCGTCCCGCTAGAACTGACACTTCCTCCTTTCTTCCCTCGCTACTCTCACTCGCTCGAATTACCCCTTCCAG